GCTAAGGAAGGTGCCGCTCTGCTTCGTTTTTGCCTCGAAGGCTGGAGGGCATCCGGTTGAGCGAGGGGCGTTCTGGACAAGACACTTCTTTTCGGAGTTCTCTTAGGCTGAGGGTCTAGGGTTGGCATGTTTGGCTGGGGGCAGAGCGCAGTTCGGGTAGGGTAGTAGCTATGGGGGGGCATCCTAACTCGTTGATGGTTGAGTTTGCGCATGTCTGCGCTTGTAGTGGGTTCATCATAGTAGAGAAGCATTGACGTTAGGACGAAGCTTGTCATGAAAGCAGGAGGAATCCTGTAACGAAGGCTTATCAAAGAATTGTTCGGTTCGGAGGCGAGGAAACTTATCTTCTAGAAGGACTGACGGACTTAATGACAACAAGATTACCGGAAGGGTCTTGTACTGGCTCTTGTCCTGCCCCACTACAATATGCTACACACCGCAAGGGTTCCTGGGGCCTGGCATTGCTGTTTGCATGGTGGCGCCAGCTACAGACGCATTCTGAGACGAATCGGGGAGTTTGCAATGGCTGGCATCTTCCTGTATGAAGCCAGGAACCTCTCTGAGGCGCCGACAGAGCATGTAGAAGCATATGTACTGCGCCTGGAACAAAACCATGCAGCTTCCAGCACTCACAGAAATTATGAGAAATTCGGATTGCTCCTGGGAAGCTGAGGGTTGAGGGTTTAGGGTTTAGGGTTTTGTGAGCTTGATAGGACCAGCGTGCATGCTATCAACGACGCCAAGTCAAAGACCTGGAACCCCCAAGCACCAAGACCGACAAATATGAATACCCCAGTAAACGAATGAACTAAAAGCCTCGAAGCCTTACCGCAAGATCTGCTCCACAATTCCATGAAACAGCAATTGCACAAAATGAGCGCCTAGCCACCCTCCAGACTGCAACCAAAGACCACCACACCCCAAACAGCCCTACAAGAAGCAAGCACATATATATATATATATCCATCTGTACATATACATACATATATATTAGCATAGATATGTATATGTATATGTGTGTGTATTTCCCGGGTCCCTACATATCCATGCATATCCCTACGCCTCCCTATACGTCTCTACATATCCATATATATCCCTATACATGTCTACATATCCGTATGCATCCCTGTACATCCCTATGTATCCCTATACAACCACATATCCATGCATATCCTATCATATCCCTACATATCCCTAGGCCCTATACGGCCCTACATATCCCTGTGTATCCCTATACATGCCTACATACCCGTATACATCCGTATACAGCCCTATATATCCCTATATGCCCACCTATATATTGAAGTCATGTATAGAACTGGATCCACACTGCCGACCTCGGAGCTCGCGCCCCCGATGCGAGACCAGTCGGGCCTCAGCTTTTTTGTTTTAGACTTTGGATACCATGAAACTCTAGGTCCTACACCTGAATCCCTAAACCCCAATCCCTGAACCCTAAACCCGAACCCCTTAACTCTCAGCCCCAAACTGCAAACTCTAAGCCCTGGACTAGGAGTAGGAGTTCTACCCCCTACGGCCAGATCCTCCACGACTCAAGCTGCAAGAGCTTCTGGGGTAATGAGTACCGGGCTGCTTCTGGACCAGTTCTCGGAAGTCCTACCAGAACCAGGTTACGGGTTTAGGGTTTGGGGTTTAGGCTCTAGGGTTTGGGGTTGAGGGTCAAGAATTTTGGATTTAGGCTTTAGGGCCTACTTTTGAGGGACCCTGGAGTTAGGTGATATTAAGATCCCCAATTCCTAAGAACATGACACCAAGTAGGTTGCCTTATCCAGTAGTAACCCCAGGGCCCCACAAGTAGGGCTTTTTAAGGTCTTTAGACCATGTAGACTGATCAATCAATATTTAATCTGCAGTTGCGACTGTCAGGAGTTGGAGCTGTGGGGCAGGGTTTGTTGAAGTTGAGGGCTTTGGATTTGTTGCTCCCCGTAGGGTTTCGGGTTTCAGGGTCTAGGGTCTAGGGCAATAGGTTTATGTCTTGAGCTCAAAGCTGGATGATGAGGATAATTATCCAGTATCCGGTATCTTATTGTTCAAGGATCTTAGGAATAGGGCGGCTTCGATACTCAGTTTCCTCTTGGGACTTCAAATCGGCTTCGAACTCTACAGCACGTTTCTGCCTCTGGCATAGGATAACATCTAATGATCGCCCGTGAACTCAAAAGGAATGATCGTAGCAGATCCTCAGGAACCCGATGACATCCAGATAACATGCAGGTATGCAAAGGAGACGATACTCTTTATCTATCGGCGATATTCCGCATTCAAACTGAGAGGCCTTTTGCTTTGAAGACCACAAATCCTCAGCAACTGACATGACCCTGAATTGCCCTTTTCCTTCTCGCCTCTGCACCAAAACCTCACAACTGACGCTAAAACCCTCCAGGCCTCTAATCGCTTTGCCATGAATGGATACGTCCCTGAGAGCATGAAGAAGAGCATGACGCCCGCTGACCTAAGTGAGCTGGCTAAAGGCATTTTACATTCCTTACAGTAGGACCCCGATCAAAGTGGTTGTTCAATGTTTGGGTGTTGATGCTTCACAGTCCCCCTTAAAACCTGGATCCCGCTGCCGCTTGCCGAGACGAACAGAACCTTGATCCGCTCTGGCAACAAAGCGTTCTCTCAAGCTTGCCTCAGGCTCAAGGGCCTTTGGAATGGAATGATGATAGCCGTGCAAAGGCACTAGTAACGAGTTAAAGCAGGACGACATGTAGGCCGAGGGTGCCCCTGATACACCTTGCTTGCTTGGCGAGATCCATGGCAGAGCAAGGTCGCAACAGACGTTTTCCTGCCTTCCTTGGGGGCCAACTTGCGTATGATGAAAACAGCATCCTGCAATGAACTCCTTTGCAACAGGACCCTAGACACTAAACCCTCAAGCACCCAACCAACTATTTCAGCTCAAAAATTGGCTGGGCCGACTCCTGAGCCCACTATTGCCCCAATGAGATGAATCATGAGGATACCATATCAAAGATAACAATACTGGTGGGTTGTAATACCAACAATAACAATACCAACAATAGTAACAAACAATAACGGCCCTTCTACAAGCCAAACACTCGTCATCAGCAGGAATACTACAGTTGTCTGACAATCAGTTCAATACCTCAGCTCCCTCACTGCTCCAAAGACATCCTGTGGGCTTACCGAAACGAAGTATCATGCACCTGGGAAGCAGCTCTTGGGTGAGTAGAGGCCCACGCCAGATGTCACAGCTTTTGCTGAAATTTCCGGCCCAGACCTGCACCAAGCGGGGAGCATGGCAACTGCGTTATTGTGATGCTTTGTGCGGATTACTGTTTGAGGTTTAGAGGTTTACTCTCCTAAATGCACGACTATTCACGCTAAGAGCTTACGTCTAGGGCCTAGGGCCCGGGCCAATATTGAGACCCTGCATAAGGTAAAGAAGTGTATGAAAGGTGCTGTGGAAATGTCCCTCCTGGGGAGGTGTGGGCAATGGCCTCACAGACTTCCCATCAGAGGATCCGTACATCACGATGACTCGCAACACAAGTTCTGATGAATCTGCTGAGTCTCCCTATCCAACACAAATGCCACCCAGTCAGCGGGGAGGTCCCACTAAGGAGTATCTGCAGGATCTATGCCTCAAGAACAATGTTGCTTGCATTTACGTCGCAACACCCAATAAAAACTCCAAAAGTCAACAATCCCAGTCCCGAACCTCTGCAGCCCCTCCCTGGAAACCCTAAACCCGCGGATCCTATAAATCTCAGACGTAACAACTCTGCACCTTTACTTGGTCCCCCACCTTGTAATGGGTACCACAAGGAACTATTGTAGGTATAGTAAGTCCCTATTACCTCCTTATTTAGGGGCTGTTACTGTGCAGGGATTGACCTACACCTTAACCCTGAAACCCAAACGCGGAATTCTCAGCCTCTGAGGCCAACAGCTACAAACCCTAAATGCTCTAAACCTCAAAGTGCCGACCCCCATCCTCATGACCACTGGAACCAATCAGGGTTCCCAGAGGCCAAATTAGTCGGAATAGGGGTACAGTAACAGCACTACTTAAGAAAACATTGAAAGGAGAAAGTGAGAGTCTCGGCAGGGCTTGGGAGGGGACGTACAAGAGGAGAAAATGAGATGTCCATTTTGAGGCCAGAAGTTTGGTCCTAAACCCATCAGCCTCAAACTGAAGCGAAACCTTCTACAAGGCCACAGTGCCAAAATCTCAGCCTCAGACTCAGAACCCCCAACAGCCCAAGCAACAATCAAAATCAGAAAATTCCAAATCCTGGCTTTCTTATTATTCATGGCTGGCGCCAAGCACCCTGAACGCCCCACGGACGCCCTTGAAGGCCTTCTGAGCATGCCATAGAAACCTCAAAGATCCTTGAGAGACCCCTTCGTATTTTGCTTCCAGAGATGCCCTCAATTTCACTCTCACAAGCGCCTTAAAGAGTAAGAAACCCAGACTACCCTACCCTGGCCCTAGAAAGGATTTTCGAATCCCGCGTTGACGCTGTACTTCATGCTACGACTGAAACTATATACACCGTAGACACGAAAGTCATTATCATACTCATTCAAGCTTCTACTCTAAGCATCCTACAACATCAAAGTTAAGTCTATGTTAACTCCCAGGTTCCGGCCCATTGTCCATCACCTTTTCTATTTGGCTCTCCGGTACTTATTGCCCAATTTTCAGGATTCTACCCCAAATCCTGTACACCCCAATCTAGTCCTTATAAAGTTTAAGGATCTAATCCTGTTAAAGCCCCTTTAGGAAGACTTAAGCCCCAAGCACCCCGCCTCGGGAGACATGAAGGGCGGGGTCCCGGCGATCTCCGTGCCCCGACCCTCCGAGCTCAGCCTAAGTCTGAGTTAGAGGGTTTAGGGTTTAGGGCTTAGGGCTTTAGGGTTTAGGGGTTTAGGGTTTATCACCATGTTCTTTCCTTTCATGCCCTATAGAACCCCTTTAGTGCGCAGACAAAGCCAAGTTCTTTTCCCCCTCACAAGCTGGACTCCGCGAAGGGCAGCAGCACCACGTTTCCAGCTGCACCCCCTGCGCTGGGCTGCATCACCTGCTTACAGGCTGGCGTTAGGATTCTCTTATTATAACCCCTCTATAAACCCACTATAACCCAATAAAAACCCATGATAACCCTATATGATCCTTATCATTGTATATCCTGATATGGGACTATCTTCCTATTCCTATTGTACCACTATTGCAGGGGGGGCGGCCCACCTAAGGTTTGGGGCTTAGGGTGGGTAATTTAACAAGAGGCCCTCCCCATAAACAGTTGGGGAAGCTATTAGAACACAAAAATCCAACACCCGTAAAAATCACCCATGGTATTGGAACAAGCATGGAAATCTCCATCTAGAAAATATTCAGGCTAGTCAAAGCCCAAGCCCAGCAACAACAAGCTGGGGTTTAGGAACAAAGTTCTCGCCATTCAAAACCTTGTCGTAATTTACGCCTTGTTGGGACCCAGTCCTCACCTTTGAATGAGAAGAAACCCAAACCCATTTTTCATAAAAAGACCCCAGTGAGAGGCAAGAGGCCCTGATCGATGCATCCCCAGGCCCCAATCCAAAGCTGTAATCCACAAAAGCCTCATGTTAAGCCTGAGGTTAGTAGGGCACAAGGTATTGTATTGGGAATATATAGGGCTCATTTTGATAGGGTATATAATGGGGTTATAGCAGAGAATGAGGGAAAACGGTGGCTATGGGTGCTTTCAATATTGAGACAACAGCATATTGGAAGATCTACTTTCATAGGCAATAGGCCACACGCTTGGTACCACCCACGCGCGCAGAGACCGACAGCCCCCCCGCCCCCCCCGATTTGAAATGATCTTTCTCACAGTTCCCAGATGTGACCGCATTTCTTGAGAGTAAGACCAGAACATACTGTACAATACGATCCCAAAATACAAGTGCTTGCGAAGAGCCTGGCTGTCCGCAGCAACCGCTGCTCACAACCCTAACAACACTTTACTGTCTCTACAACATCAACATGAATAGACAACCCCAAGAAATCACGAAGAGCCTCGCAAGCTAAATCCGTAAGCCCCCAAAGGCCCTTGACTTACAGGTTCCCTTCAACACCCCCATTATACCACCCCTCTAGGAGGATCCTTTGAGGGGTTTAGGGTTTAGGGGCTATAGGGTTCAGTACAGAGCAAGTTTAAACCCTAAACCCTATATAACCCCATATAGCCCCTGCAATAGTCCCCTATATAATCCCCTACATAACCCCCTTGGTTAGGTGATCCGCAAGCCCCGAAGGCCCGGGAAGGTCGGCTTTTGGGCCTCCACGTGCGCCTTGGCCGCTTCCTGAAGCGGAAGCTGCAAGCTGACGACCGGAGCCTCTGGCAAATGTAGAAATACAGTTGTATAGGGATTATGTAAGGACTATTAGGCTTTAGGGTTGGATTATATAGGGATTATACAGGGATTATATAAGGTTAAATTGAGATTACATGCAGTTTAGGAATGTGCATATGTGTATATACACATATATATATATGTGTGTACATATATATTACCGCGATAACGTGAGAATCAAATGGAAAAGACAATGAACAATGAAATGGACGTTTGGTTGGTAGAAAATAGAGCTTCTGAAAATTAGTTTAGTATATCAGGATCAAATTCTAGTGGGTTCCCGTATTTCCATAAGCTCCCAACTGGTTTCGGGAATGTTTTTGGGTCGGTCCGCAGAAAAAAACAAGAATACTGGGCTAGTAATTACTTCCCTTGCTACGCAACCAGATCCCAAAACTTTCAATTGGCGGCAATGCTGAGCCTACAACCCCTAAAACCCTCCATAACGAGAGCTTGTATAACCCCTATATATGTCCTATAGTCCCTATATAACCCATTATTGTAGTTTCCATTTTCTTTTCCATTATCCCTATATAACCCCAATATGTACGAGAGCTTGGGCTTTAAAAGCTTTTGGCAAGTGGCGAGCGCTCCCCCAGCCATCAAGTCATGTAATCCACTGTGTATCTCCTCGGCTTGGCGGCGCGAGAAGTTAATGAGATAAGGTTTCAGAGTTTTAGGGTTAAGGTGTCGGGCTTAGGGTCTTGGGCTTGGGGCTAGCTGAGGCCCTCTTGAGGAGAGAGGCGAAGCTCAAATGGAAAACCCGATCACAAAAACCGCTTGTCAGGACCTGTATGTAGCGTCTGCTAAGGAAAAGGGTACTCAACAAGGGCCCCGCGAAGGCGACGGTCCTCTTCAAGAGGGACCCTGTGGGGTTCCATGCCAGTTTGCGGAGTAGCATGGACTCTGCACGAGAAACAGACCAGATATCTATGTCTGAAGACATCTCGTCAAAAGACACAAGGGATTTAGCTTGGGTGTCCACCCCCCCACCGTGCAAAAGTGGCATTATGAGGATATGACAGGGCCCCCATAGAACCACCATTATCCTTTAAGTGACTACTGCTGGGTGGGGGGGCCCACTTCAGATGTAGCCCTCATCCCGGAAGGCAGTTACCACTACCTGAGCTATAGTCTAAACTCCTAGTATCCCCTTAATAACCCCTATAGTAGTCCCATGTATAATCCCCTATATAACCCCCCTTCAAGGAGTTTAGAAACCCTAAACCCTAATCCCTAAACCCTAAACCCTAAACCCTATATAATCCCCTTTAAGGAGTTTAGATTATGGCTCACCTGCTGGCTAAGGAGCTGCTCGCTCTTCTGCTGTGGCAGAGCCCAGGAAGACCCCACGGATGTCCATCTCCGAGGGCCTCAGCAGTTTTTGTTGGGCTTTGGGTCTATAGCCCCCTTAATTCGATAGAATATGGGATATTGGGGATCTTATTATAATATACGTAATATACCTGGACCCCAAAAGTATGTAAAATAATGGCCTTCATGGCTATTAGTATGGGTTTAGGGCTATTATTTTACATACTTTTGGGGTTCAGGTAGGAGTCATGCGGTTCAGGATAGGGCTTAGAAGGGTTTGCAGGCTTATGGGCAAATTATATGAGCTGTTGTCAGGTGTAGCAGCTATGGTGGAGTTTACATAGTCAGCATATCATATGCGGCATCGTGGCGTCATGCCTGTGGCGCAGGAAAGGTCAGTTCAGGATGAACTGAGGATGATCAAAAGGTCCCCAACAGGGCAGGCCCTTCGCTATGAAGTATGCACTGTGATCTAGCACTTGCTACAGGATTCCTGCCTGCAAAGCCAGTGTTGATGCAGCCTCCTGAAGTCTCCGTGGTCCACCCTAAACTCTAAACCACTTTTGGGTGTATTCTTGGCTTACTCTGGACTCATCTAACGCATGTCTTTGGGCTCTCCAACTCCTCCTACCCTATGGGCTAGCCTCAAACGTACAGAAGTCTGAGCACCAGGCATCAGGGCGCGCGGGTTGATGCCCACGGCTTCGGCTTTGGAGCCCACGATGCCTGAGCTCCGATCTATTGGCGCAGCTGGGGGAGGGGGGTAGGGGTGCTGAAGTCTTCATAGGGTTTAGGGTTTAGAGATTTAGGGATTTAGGGATTGAGGGTTCAGGGTATAGGGATTTACTTAGGGTTTAAGGATTTACAACTTAGGGCTTGGGGATTCAGAGTTGGGGGTTTCGGGATAAGTGTTCAGATTGTGGACATGTGGTCCCTTGCTTAAAGTACTGGTTCTTAGTAGGGAATAAGGGGAATATGATCCCTATATACTATCATATATTCCCTACTACGACCACTAAGCCTAATGAAGGTCTTGTGCCAGGGGCCTTATGGCGCATGACCTTTCCACTTTGTCAGGACTCCCGCAGCAGGTCTACCATTGCCACTCCTACTGCAGCATGTTATGCGATCCTCCCCCTAAAACATGCCACAGCCTTCACAACAAGCATTCCCAGTGTACCTGCTGGTGTAGTAACACTTGTATACTTAGGCCATGTTTTTTCAACATTTCCCGTGCAATTCTGTCGTGTACTTGGGCAGTCTTCACTATTTGGGGGGTGGGGAGCTTCATATGGGCATTTTGCCAAACAATCCCTACAAAATCCCTCGTAAGGAACACTCAGAATCCCTTTATAGTCGTATCTATCAGTAGGTTCCCTACAAGTGGGAGTCCTCAAACCCTCAATCCCAAACCCGCATACTTGGGGAAGTGATTTGATCGTTAACCTTGCAGAGGGGCAAATGCAGGACCTCTTGGCCGCGACTGTCAGGTCGGCCGCGAGGTTCGCATGTGCAGCCATCTCCTTGGAGAAACTAGGCTTCCACAAGTCTGTTGGGATTGGATCATATAGAGATGCATGCCAGAGATTATGAGTGTATGCAAATGCTGTGCAAGGACTAGTATGGGATAGTATGGGTATCCTTGGGTGCTGGCTTTGGCCCCAGATATGGATCATGCTATAGCCACAGTCATGGTATCCCTGGCGCCAGGTCTAGAAGTACCATCAGAAATCCCGAGAATCGACCAAGCATCAAGAAGGACATCGAACCCATCCGGCGCATGCTCTCGGCACTTTTCCAGGTAGCCACTCTCACCTGGGCTGCTTTGGGCAGTCTATTGCCCTGCAAGCGGCAGGAACCCCGCTCCTCTAGAACTGTTCAAGCAACAGATTTCACTACTTTGTTTTGCCTCTGGCATAGTCATATGCATACCAACGGAGCCTGCACTTGCCCCAGGTTATCCCTATGGCCCTTCTATGGGATTTTGCCCGACTGGGCTGTCCTTGATTCCCTCCTCACCCTACTGTGATGTGCTTGGTCCTGAGTCTCGGGCATAAAGGGAGGAGTGATATAAAGACATGATAAGGAAATGCCAAAGGCTTTACAAAAGCACCTGTAACGCAAGGATTTCTAGAAGCTGGGCACAACCATATGTCCCTATAACCCCTTCAAAGAATGGCATAAATCCGCGCATCCGAGGCTGAACCAGTGGGCCCCGAGTATAGCCCCTCAATCCTAGGGTCCTTGTAGACTTGTTACATGCCCGATGAATTTCTAGAAGCCCCACTAAAGGCCTGAGAAACCGGTAGGGGCTCACATTCGGGGCCCATGCTTAGGACCTTGATCCCTACGCAGCTGAAGCCCCTTTTCTTTTCCATTTGATGCTCCATTATCCCTATAATCCCGCTTACCCACTAGGAAAACACACGTTCCGTTGAATTTGCCATACTCTCCATTTGATTCTCCATTGTTTGGGTAGTATCCGCTGTATCCGCCCTATGTAATCCTAGTACGTATCGCCTAAAATACGAAACCAATGTTTCCATTCTCTTTTCCAAAATTCCGTGTATAACTCCGGTGTACTCCCCATAGCCCTATTTAATCCCGGCAAACCCCGTCTAATGCCTATGTTACCACTATATAACCCCAGTTTCAAGCTAAGGTTCGGTGGTTCAGCGCTGCGTCCGCGCCGGCAGCCACCACGGCGCTGAGCCCCGGAGGGGTGCCAGCCGTGCCCACGACGCGACAGCCGAGGTGCTTCCTTGGGATTGCGGTTTTGAAATCCTTCCAATTCTAGACCGCATATGAGCTGTAGTCCCCCGTAAAAAACCCTATATTAATACACTGTACAATCAACTACAAATCCAATTTAAGGAATGTAGACTATAGCTCATATATCCCTATGACCCCTTAATTAACCTCATGGGGTACTTAGACTATAGTGTACAATTTGGGTTTCGGGGCGGGTCTATATCATAGGATTCCCCAGTACCCCACCCGAACACCCACAACAAGGCCGAACTACGGGCGGGCTGGTTTTGCCTTATTGGGAGGTTTAGGGTTTGGGGCTTAGGATTTAGGGTATAGGGTTTATGGTTTAGGGTATAGGGCTCAGGGTTTAGGATATAGTGGGATAAGTAAGGGCTTTTGCCTTGCGTCCTTGCTTGGGGCTGCAAAGTGTTTCAGTGGGTAGTCCTGGATCCTATGGGTCCTATGATCAAGCTTTGGAACAGCAAGAGAGAAAAAAGGCATTGGAGCTTTAGTCTAAACTTCCAATATATCCCCCTTAATCAGCCTTTCAATGCTCCCCTATATAATCTCCTACATAACCCCCTTTGAGGAGTGTAGACTATGGCTCATATCTCCCTAAACCCTAAACCCTATACCCTAAACACTAAACCCCATACCCTAAACCCTAAACCCTATACAATGCCCTATACAATGAATTTAGACTATGGCTCATTTGGGGTCCGTCTGGAGGTTGGCGCTTAGAGGTTGGAGGCTGCAGCTTGTGGGATAGAGGAGTTGAGAAGTTTGTCCTGGGAATGTCGAGGGTTTAGTTGTTTTCCTTAAGCGCCTCTTTTAACCCGCATATTCCAGCTGGCGAAGTCCAAGACGGACAGGTGTAAATCAAGCTCGTACAATGCACCAGGAGGGTATAGGGTTTAGGGTATAGGTTTTAGGGTATAGGGTTTAGGGTTTAGGGTGGGAACATATTGAGGGTATATAGAGATAATGGAATGAGAAAGGAAACTGCTACATTATGATAGGATGTATCTTCTACTTAGAGACGGAATAATTGTTATGCTTCGAAAGGTTTGAGGGGCGTCCTTTCAGGAATTGAGATACTAAAGCTTTGAAGTACGGAGTATGCAGGGTGGCATTGGCATCGCTTGCAAACAAATCTCACAAAACTGGATAAAAAGGGAGATTCCAAAATTGGCATGCCCCCTGTATACCCCAACATGCTATAATCAGTCTTCATTTCAGCACCCTAAACAGGGAACGCTGATTTCTGGAACCCCATATATGAATCAGTCATCAAGAGCGCTGGCAGTAGTGAGCCGCCCCGCAGCGACCCAAATTCAAAAACCTTCGATACCTTTTTGGGAGGGTGCCCAGAATAAGGATTATGGTATTCGGGCTCTACATTAGAGTCCCCGTTTTTATCGAAGCTGTGAGGTAGTCATGCTCTTCTAAGGGCCCTCCCCCGGAACCTTCAATGCCACCCCAAAGAAATTCATCCACCTAACATCCCCTGCCAGTCCATGAAACACCCCTGACTCTACCCGATAACGTCTCGCTTGCCTATGCCACAAAAAGAAACGTGCGCATGCAAAAAACACAGGTCTCAGCGGTGGGCCCCTCAAAAGCCTGCTCCAAGCCGTGCGTCGCAATCTGCACCGCTGCTAGGCCAACAGCGCCGGAGGCGCCATGGATGAAGACACTTTGGCCTTCTCTGACCTAAGGACAGCAGGCTTCTGTAAGGAGAGCTTTGGAGGGCTTGTGGAATATTTGGGATTCTAAGAGAAACAAATGCTGGTGGAGTTAGATGTGTGTGTGGGGTTTCAGACGAGTCTTGCCAGATACCAGGGTGGGGACTTAAAAGTTTAGGTGTTAGCATGATCCTGAGCCCTTCCTAAGCAAGCAGCCTTGAATGTGAATGCACAGTCAGGATGAAGACTGATTGATGCGGACTCCGGTTGGGCCGGCAAAAAAAATGAACACGCAAGTATGCAACAATTGTTCAGTTGCACGCATGGTCAGCTACGGTCAGGTATAGCTTCCCACCCACAGGAGGGACAAATCAGCTTAAAACTACCGAAGAAAACAGAAAGAACAGCTTGCTGAGCATGATTTCTCCGGGACAAGCCCCTGGGATTTAGGGTTTAGGGTGGAGGCCTTGACCTTCTTGGGCAAACGCGCGCATGCGGAACTGAAAGCACATCCTCTGCATTTTGTTGTTGGAACCCTGGTCATGATTCACCCCGCCACTCGCAATTCATGTCACAAGGTCTTCCCTCATTTCCTTACGAGTAAACTTCAACTAGGTTACCATAATGGGTGTATATAATATATATATATATGTGTGTGTGTATGTGTATGTCGTATATATTTAATATTTAACATGGTTCCCCCAACAGAGCAACTCTAGCATATAGTAGGCCACCGTGCTTCCAGCCTTCGCGCGATGCTTCAGGGTGTAGTACGCAGTTGCACATGGCACGCCGACGCAGGCGCCCTGTGCGAAGGATACGCGGTCCTCAGTTTCCAAGCATCGAAGACGCGTGCAAAGTCCGACAATCAAAGCTAGGTAATGGACTTAACAAGTGGGAACCACGAGAGGGACTGTAAGATTGAAGGATCACGAACTTCATATCCGCAAAGACGAAGAGTTCGACGAAAAGCTAAGCAACACCAGGATAACCTTGGCGGCAGTAATCCCCGGATACGCCCAGAAAAATCCCATAGCGGGTCCCATTTTCATCCACATTAATATCCCTGTAGTCCTCCTGCAGGCCATGACTAGGTCTTCACCCAGCCATGTGCGGGCTGTTGAGCATCAGATTTGAGAAGTTTGCCAGCAGGTTGTAACGAATCACGAAAAATATGGTACAATGAAACCGCCCCAAGCCAGTTAAGTTCTACCATCCTCATAGTACCGCGAAAGCAAAGCACAATTCTTGCTGCAGTTTCTCATTGAAGGTGTAGGTACATCTCGCGGCCCTGAGGATACATTGGGGGATAAGAACGAGGTCCGGAGAAGCTACATAAAGCTGCTGAAAGAAACTCCTGTGTGAAACATTGCTCTACACCCTAGACTGCAAACTGTTAAAAACTTGCATTTAAAGCCCGGCCTAAGCTCAACCCTAAATTCCCCAAGCCCTAAGTAACCCGTAAACCTTGTGAAAAAAGCCGGGCCGCAGGCAGCGGGAAGACCCCCGCAGCCTCGCAAAGCGCGTGGGTGGCGCAGGTACCGCTCCCTGCGCCGCAAACATACCTTTGGATTGGAAGCTGTGAGGAAGGCTTAAGAGAGTATGAGAGAATGAGCTCGCTGTAGGCGCTTTGGTGCGAGTCACAATCTACACCCCCCGTGCAAACCAGGCAGGGAACCACAAAGAAACCACAGAGTAGACTCTAAACCAAAAAACGACTTGCCCCGGAGACGTGTTGCCAAACCCCGAGCATCCATGAAATCTTGAAACCTTCGGACTCAACACATGCCCCGAGGAATCCAGAAGAGTTACTGGAGTGACACTACTACAGGGTAGCATAAACAGCTTTCTCGGACAAGGCAGGCTTGCCAAGATTACATTTAGGGAGCCCTAAGATGATTTCGGAGTGGCCAAGCTGCACACGCTGCCCGACACTAACGTTCTTCACGTCGGGCGCTGCTTCCTCTTCAGACTTCAGGGACTTAGATCCTGATGAGTCCTAAGTTGAACCTTTGGATTCTGTTTCAAAAGGGGCGTCAGCTTGGGGGCTGAGGCTTGGGGTGGAGCTGCGAAACCCTCCGCACTGTCCTCGACAACACCAGCGCCATCACGACCTGCGCCACAGGGAGCTAGCTTGCGTTTGCAAAGGGCTTGTCGTCTGAGACAGAACACGCTGCCATGGGACATCTTTATAATACTCCCCCATATAAGCCCCTATATGACCCCCTTTAAGGAGTTTAGACTATAGCTCACATGAGGCTGAAGAACCGTCAAGGCTTCAGAGATCCTTGACTACCTGCCCTCATGAAAAGGCTTCGGTCATCTGCACAAACACGACTCTAAAGAACGGTTCAGGGCACCTTTAGCTATCCCTGAAGATCATCTAGTACCTGTGAAAATGGATCTACGTCCAGTGCCGATTGTTTTCGGAAAGATCCATTGCAAATTTCATGGGAACATCCTTGGTGCCTAGGGAAATGCTTCCCAAGCCCACAACAAATATGCAATAGTTTTTTCCATGCTCTTTTCCACAATCCCTATATTCTATAAGTTATAGAGTCTATAGCCCTAATGTACTATAGTAGCTTCCATTTTTCCATTATCCGTATATTGCTGTATATAACCAAGGGAATATAAGCCCCCCAAAACAACCAACCCAGCCTCAGAACCACAACGAGGGCCCTCTCAAACTCCTAGGAACTCTCCCCATACATCATTTCAAAAGTTGTTCCTCATTCTGACTCACAAAAACTGGGTTGCTGTTGAGGAATTTAAATTAAGTCACCATAATGGGTATATATAAATAGGTTTCCCCAATATAGTAACTTAAATGGAGCTCCTTAAAAACAACCCAGAAAAAGGAACTGGACTTCCGGAGGGCTACCATCTTTACGTTGATGGGAAGCATGTCTAGAGGCCAACATGTCTTTTTCCCGGAAATGGCCTGGCGTCCAGGGCAGAGACCTCAGCATCACAAAAAGAAAGCAAACTTATGTGAAGCTGTGGCGTCAATGCTTGAGACTTTGCACGCTGTTTGAAATTTATCTGACCAGCCAAGTGTACCTGGCCACTGAATTAGATGGAACTTGCGGGGTCACATCGCCTCACTAAAAGATTTCGAGCTGGGAAGGAAGCACCCAGATGGAACTCGAAAAGGGTCCTCCTTGGACGGCTGCACTTTTGAACATGTCCTACATTGTGCGGGGGTTGTGCTCACTTTCCGCCTCCTTGCGCAGAACACACGAGAAGCTCCGTATGACTTGTGCCCAACTCAAGGCAGCACCCAGACATCAACTCAATTCCAAACTCGAAACCTGGAGTGCCGATGATTTCAGCTGCATGCACAAGGACTGCCTGCAAGCCCAGCTTAGGCTACTGGACCTACTCTGCTTTCAAAAGCCGGCCCATCAGCCAGTACCAGCTGAGCCAGCTTGTGTTGCATATTGCCCAAAAAGATCCCAAAGGGTCATGGATGTATACGTAAGCCCGTCTTGAAAAGCTCTTGCCTTCAAGTGCATCTGCTGTCATTGCAAAATCATGCTCCTCCTACGCTGCCCTTACTTTCTGCTTCTTAGTAAGGAATATGAATATGAGAATATACTGTACAGGTACTATTTTCCCTTTTTCCCTACTAACCCCCAGAAACTTACCGTATCCAAGCAGCGGGAGCAGGTGCGGCACAGCAGCATACGGGCCGTGAGGGCCCAAGCGAAGGTACGTATCCGAGGGGTTGACCCCGGATGCCTCCACCTGCAACTTGCTGGTTCTCAGTAGGGAAGAAAGGCATATAGATGGGTATACTATAAAGTTATACAAGGATAATTAATCGAAAAGAGAATGGGAACTACTATATAGGGTTTAGGATTTAGGCTTAGTAGGGAATAAGGGAATTTTTTTCTATAGGCAACATTCTGGGGTTATACTCCCTCATTCCCTAATAAGAACCAGTAAGTTTCACAAGGGCGCGTCTTATCATTGTGTGCCATGACAACAAGGCTTGCGACTGCGAAGCCTGCTAAGCCACAGAATCTCTCTCATGGTGCCCAGGACCTGTAGGACAGAGCCTAATCACAACACGCTCCCTGAGCCCAAAATACACCTAAACCCTAAACCCTAAACCCCAAACCCCAAACCCTACACTCCAAGCCCGGTGACCGCCCTGTAGGACAGAGCCTAATCACAACACGCTCCCTGAGCCCAAAATACACCTAAACCCTAAACCCTAAGCCCTAAACCCCAAACCCCAAACCCCAAACCCTACACTCCAAGCCCGGTGACCGCAAAGCTGTGGGTCTGATCCATGCATCCCCTGTCAAGCCCCACAACCCCAAGCCCCAAGCCCCAAGCAATGTGAGCCCTAAACCAGGGCTGCTGTGGAGGAACTTTGGTGCGGCTACCAAAAAAAACATTATTTGCGATATATCTTTGTTATGTAAAGTTAACTCAAGTTCCCTTACAGCAGACCAGGGTCTGTGGCCGGGGGCTAGACCCTAAAAACTCAACCCCAAGCAGCCCTTAAACCCTAAACCCTTGGGTGCCTTCACGCGCACCTGGCCGGCGCCCAGCGCAGGAAGCTCTTTCGAACCCAGCTTGAGCACCTCGACCGCATGCGTTGGACTTTGAATTTTCGTGATATCTGGGGTCCCAAAATTCGGGGCACCTTTTTGGGGGTCCCTATGAACAGGAAAAACATATTTTGGAATTTTGTTGCATTTTTTGGGAGGCCACCATAGGTACTGCCTACACCTTTGATGGGACGCCAGGCCAAACGACTGCCATCGAAGGGTGGTGTAGGTGCGCGGTGGGCCCCAAAATCTGGGTTGAGTTGAGACTCAAGGAGCTTCAGGGCCAGCGGAGCGTTCTACCCTAAACCCTTTATAACCCCAATATACTATAGTAGTTCCCATTTTCTTTTCCATTATCCCTATATAACCCCTATATAACCCCTAATAACCCCTATGATCCCTAGAATCCCCCTAGCCCAAGCAAACATGGCATCCCAGATCAAGGGATTTGGCTTTGCGGATGTCAGGTTTAGCGGGTTGACTATCCATGCAGACCCAAAGGCATGGCGGGAAGGCAAGTTCCACGGACTCCGAAACCCCAAATCCGGGCACACCAAAGACATGCTGCCAGTGGCCCGGTACATCTTCAACCCCCGGCGTCCTTGTCATCAGCCTTGTATTTCTGGGAGGCCATCTGAGGCTCGGAAATGGGGCACAGGAATATGACTTTCAGGAGTTGGTCTGAGAATGAGATCCGTTGCAATACAGAATCCCTTGTCAATTCTTAAGCCTGGGCTTTTGCTGACATAGTTAGCTGCTGAGACATAGCAATGTCATCATGCCTTGTCACGACTGCTCTGAAGATCATCTGTTTTTGCAAGGAAGCCCGCCCGCCCCCTTTCCCCCGCCCTCCAATGCTGCATACTGGGAATAGCCCGTGGCAATGCTCAGCGCCTCCGGCCCGCCAAACTGTTCAACAACGATGGCCTGCGAGGGACAGGATTGAGAAACTTCTGAATCAGACTGGCAGCAGTGCCCGTAGTACTCCAAGGGTACCTTACAACAACTTCCAGATGACAGCGGCAACAGAAATTGCAACCAATAAGAATGTGCTGGCGTTTATCTGTCGGTTAGGACTAGTGAATTTGGTTAGTATAGGCTTCTCAAACATTACAGTAGAGCCCTGAATGGACCTCCAGACTTGCGATCGTTTTCACTTCCACTATCCTTTACCTCCCCTAACACAAAACACCTCAACCCTTAACAGATCTTACCAATCCCTTCCCCTAACACTAAAGCCCCCCTAACTTCAAATGATAAATTCAGGTGCCTAAAAATCCAGAAGACTATTTTTTTAAAGGGGAAGATTACTTTTACAAGGGGCCACCTAATGATAAATAAGGGGGGGTTGAGGTCATCAGGGGACATAAGAAGAAATGCAAAGGAATTAGGGATTCCCTTCATTTCCTAAGTTTCGACTGGATTTCAGATGGTTTTAATAACAGATTTTATACATAAGAACTGAATGCAATTTTAACTGATTGTATTACCATTGTTAAATCTCGATAGAGTTTCAGTCGATTTCAATTGGTCCTAATAGAATCTTAGTTAGATTGAAATTGATTTCAAAGGAACTTAATTAGGTTTGAATTGATTTTAACTTGAATTTAATTCGATTTCACGTGGTTTGTGTGGAATTTTATTAATGAAATTTCGATTGGTTCTAAATGGATTTATTTCAATTTCAAGTGGGTTTAACAGAATTCTAATCAAATTTCCATTGGTTTTTAAAGGAATTTGAAGTAGATTTCAATTGATTTTAGAAGGACTTCAAATTAGACTTCGCTTGATTTTACAGGGATTTCAATTCTATTTCAATTGGTTTTCAAGAATTCAATGATTCTAATTAAATTTCACTTGAATTATAAATGGAGTCTAATTCAGTTGGTTTTAATCCGATTTCAAAACAATACTCAATTAATCGATTTAAATTATTCAATTTCGTTGATTAGTATATTTAATTGGTTATTCATTTTCCATGGAATTTAAACGAATTTTAC